GCTCTTAGAGCATCATTAACAATGATACCAGGTGGGTATCACTAAATATAAAATTATTAAAAACACACTTTCTCTTTTTTTTACTTAATTTTATACCTTCTCTTTCATTTTTTTACTCAATTTTTATTAATTTTATACTCTTTAAATATAAAATTATTAAAAACACACTCTTTCTCTCTTCAAAAGTATCAACTATTTGATACTTTGATACACTCTCTCTCCAAAAATACCCGCTATCTCTTCTCTTTACTCAAATTTTATTAATTTTATATTTCAATATACCTCATTATTTCAACAAAATACACTCTCTTTCTTCCTTTTACACAAATTTTAATAATTTTATATTTAATGATACCCACATTGTATCATCGTTAATGATGCTCTTACACCAATCTTTTCTCTTTTGTATTGGTTTTGTCAAGCTTTTTTCCTCACGCAACATCCACTACAATTACCTCGGTCTCCTCCGTGAGGTTGTCCCTAGACAATGGGACGATTACGTCTCCCGCTAACATTTTCGTATTCGGAATCTTCCAAGGGCAAAAAGTATTATCCGAAAGTCCCACACCAAATTCTCCGCAGCCAAGTTACTTGGGAATTTGGTATCAGCGGTTCCCCAAACAAATCGTATGGGTCGCAAACAGGGACAAGCCATTCTACAAGTATACTGGAACCATGAAGATCTCCAACAGCGACCTCATATTCGTCGATGACTCCAATGCTACTATGTGGGAGGAGGAAGGTTTTTCCAGTAGTGGATCCTTGGAGGCAGAGCTCCTCGATAGCGGAAATTTCGTTATAAGAGAGTCAAACACTGGTCGTATTGCCTGGCAGAGTTTCGATACTCCTACCGATACATCATTGCCGGGTATGAATATGGAACCGGGAGCGTTCACATTAGTTTCTTGGAAGTTTCCTTCTGATCCGTCAAGCGGAGATCACAGATACAACACGTACATCGATCGGAAGCTTGTGGAGGGCATTGGTGTTTGGCAGGAGCATTTACACTACCGTCATGTAAGAGAAAACAGAGAATATGCCACTCGAGCTTTGCGACAGACCACGAACGCGAGCTACTACGCCGCTTTGAGGTTGATGGACGATGGGACACTCAGGTTGTTGGTTTGGACATCCACAGACCAAGTATTTAAGTCTCCATGGGAACTACCATTCGACGCCTGCGATTATTTCAATGTATGCGGCTCAAATAAGTATTGTCAGATGAACCCTGATAAGGTTTGTAAGTGTCTTCAAGGGTTTCAAGAGAGTGATCATCTACGGCAGTTGAAAACACAAGCGTGTGTAAGGATATCAAACATGAGTTGCCTCGAATATGAGTTTCAGAAGATGAGTAAAACGAAGCTTCCGAGTCTTACTGATGATGACACAACTGTCGAAATGGTTGTTGGCTTGGACGAGTGTAAGAAGAAATGCATCAACAATTGTACCTGTACAGCGTTTGCAACAGTAAACACGGACATGCCTAATTGGAGCATGGCTTGTGTCTTGTGGTCAGGGCTCTTACAAGACGTTCGTACTTACAACAACACCAACAAGGAGGAGGGTCACGATCTCTTTGTCAAATTGCCTCACTCATCAAAGTTAGTTATTATACTTTCTCTCTTATTTTTAATTTTTTCCTTTTTTTCCTTTTCTATTCACCACTAGAAATTGATTTCTAAACTTAAAAAAAACTGAAAACTGATTTTGAATAAAGGCCAAAAAATTGAAACTGAATTCAGTTAGCTCGTGAAATTTTCTAATTGGCCGGTTTTGGACTTTTTTCTTTACTTGTCGATTTAAATTTAAATTTTTATTTATAACTTTTTCAAAAAAAAAAAAATTTGATTTATAATTAACTGCCCCAAGTCTGCTTTTGAGGCTTTAATTTCTAATGCTTTTAATGTCCCCAGCCAAGACAGATATATAGTCTACTTATTATACATACACTTAATCAGATGATTTCTTATTAATAAAGTTTGATGACATTGATTATTACTCAGTCTGTACGCATTATACATACACACACTTAATCAGGTGATTTCTTATTAATAAAGCGTCCTTTTGTGGACTGAAAAAATTAGGTTAATTTATTAACTATCTTCCAGAAAACATCATATGATGAGAGCATATAATTAAGATTCAGTTAGTTTATTTATTTTCCAAAATAATTCACTTCTTTTTAGCATATTTTTATAGTATAAACTATGACATGTTTTAAATAATTCAAATCTTTTTTTGGACAGAAAAAAACAACAAGAAAGAAGCCATAATTATTGGTTTTGCGGTTGGAGGCGGCAACTTTTTGATAATCATTGGATTGATCTATCTTTGTTGGGGAAAAATCAAACTAATCGTGGTAACTGGTAATTACAATTTAAACTCTTAAACATTATTTTCTAATATATTTCTATGTTTTAAAAACAAAAGAAAAATTATGATTGTTTTGTTTTCTTACTAATAATAGCAATATTTGAGGATCATCAAGAGATCAACCAAACTCAACCAGTACTTATATCTGAGGATATTAGATGTACCGTGATGAACTTCGAAGATATTGCCACCGCAACTAACCTATTTGATGAGTCTAATAAACTCGGAGCCGGAGGTTTTGGGATCGTATACAAGGTAAACTAACGATTAGTTATCCCATAAAATAATATTCTTGAAATATAAACAAAAATTGTATCTCTTTACATTTTACAGGGAAGATTGATGGATGGACAAGAGATCGCCGTAAAAAAATTGACTAACTTGTCTCGGAATGCAATAGAAGGGTTCGAGAACGAGGTGAGGCTTATTGGTGTCATCCAACATGTAAACCTAGTCCGACTGCTCGGATACGTATATATCAACCGTATCCGACAAGTGACTAGTTTACGAGTACCTCGAAAACCTCAGCCTCGACACTTATCTCTTCGGTTAGTCATGTCTACATTTTAGAGAGATTTTTCTTTTTCTATCGAACATAAAGTTTAACTTAGTTGAATTGGCGTTATGATCCTTTTCTCACAGACACAACACGAAGCTATATCCTTACATGGGAAATGAGATTCGACATTATCAATGGGATTGTTCGAGGGCTGGTATATCTTCACCAAGATTCGCGGTTCAAGATCATTCATTTGGATATAAAACCCAACAACATACTTCTCGGGAAAGACATGGTCCCGAAGATCTCAGATTTTGGAATGGCCAAGACTCTTGAAGGTGATGCGACCCAAGGCCACGTGACGTCTGCGGCTGGAACAAGGTACGGTATGAAAACAAAATGTTGCATGTAAAACCTCGAGCTCTTAATTATATTAAACCGGTTTGAGATTTTGTTGTGTAGGGGTTACATGTCACCGGAATACACGATGAACTTGGTATACTCGGCAAAATCGGATGTTTTCAGCTTTGGAGTCATGCTTCTAGAGATTATCAGCGGCAAGAAGAACAGAGAAATCTCTAGTCTGAACAACGGAGAGACTCTACAAAGCTACGTAAGCATAAAGCAAACCAAAATTTCCATATCTTCTTTTTGATGATGCTTTTTGATCTTGTTTTTTAATTTCATGAAACAGATATGGAGCATTTGGAGCCAAGGAAACGGGTTAGAGATGGTGGACCCGGTCTTCAGATATACATCATTTCCATCGGAACAAGTTCTAAGGTGCATACAGATTGGGCTTTTGTGTGTTCAACAACTTGCCGAGGACAGACCAACCATGTCATCGGTGGCTTTGATGCTCGGGAGCCAGACAGAAGCCATTCCTCAACCCAAAAACCCGAATGAGATTCCTTCTTTATCGTCGTCGAGAGGAGAGACGACACAAGGTGATTCATCCTACACGGTGAATCAAAGAACCATGTCGGTTTTGGAGGGTCGGTAAAATGTGTTTGTCTCGGTTTAGAAACTTTAATAGTATTAAGTAAGGGTGAATAAATGTACAAGCATCCCATTTTCGGCTTGGGAACTAAAACCGATGTTTAATACTTTCTGTTTCGAATTTGGTCTATTTTGTTTACCTATGGTCCTATATATATACTATTATTTTGCTTGCGTACGCGACGGTTTTAAAAAATAAATTAAAAACTAAAAATATTTTCTACTTTGGTTTTATGTGTTTTAATATCATAGCATTCCTCATATATATATATTGATGCAGATGAATCAAAATTTACTGAAACTCAAAAAGATAGTAAAGTGGAGTATATCAAAAGTGGTATTGTAAAGAAAACACCTAAAAGATCAAATGTGACATCGACTCCCATTTTTTTTTAATTGAATATAAAATTGTATTCAAAATCAAAAAAAAATTAATGTGTATTTGTTTCAATGGTTCTAAAAGTTAACACATAGAAAATCAAAAATAAACATTCAAAATATATTTTTGTAAACCCGACAACAAAAAGACCAATTTTTTATCAACAAAAATACCAAATTTTGATAAATATTTTTCATCGACGAGTAACTAAACCAGGCCACAATCACATCAACAATTACAATAATTACCAGTATTAAATTCCAAAAGTATTTAAAAGCATTCAAGTCGTAAGTTTAGTTTTTTCTGCATAAATTTCTTCTGCACACGCAATGCTTTCATTTTAGAGTGTATTTACATTCTCCAATTTTTCTGCCATATCGACTGGTGCAAATATTTACACACTGGGTACAATTTTGTTCATTGCATGGAAAGCTGGATCGTATTGGCTCACATGAAAATGGATCATATCCTGGTCTCCAATAGGTGCACTCGCAATATTAATGTACTCCACCATTTTCATGAAGTTTATACATATTCCATATTCGTTCTGTTTCGAGCTAGATAAAATCATGACAACGTTGGATACCCATTTGTACAGTGCATACAAACTCCGGATATCCTACTTGGATACAACGTTGTGTTTGCGCTTGCATTCTTAAACAAAAATTCAAAAACAAAAATCAGTCTCATTGATAAAGAAAAGGTCAAAATGCCAAAATGCAAACAAAAAATTGTGTTTTGTTTGGATTTGATGTTTACTATTAAAACAAAATAGTATTTAAGATCGTAATTAAGTTTTATTTCAAAATCAACGCAAATACAAACAAACAATACAAAACCTAGTAGAATGATCATATGTCATAATGTTTATTACTTGTTGAAATTATCAGGAAGATCACCACAAAAATGATCATATGTCATCTTGATGAAGCTAACAAGTTTTACACCCTTCCCCATTTTCTTGTGTTTTCTAAGATCTTTTTCTTGATGGAATATTTTACGTATATAATCATTATATATAGAGAGTTTTTTTTTCTATTTTAATAATTAAACAAGAAGAGTAATCCGTAATAAATTTCTATAGAACCATTACAAATATAGAAAATAGTACAATCTGATGGCCCCCATTCGCTTACTACTTTTAGACTATTATATGTGTTAGTGATAGTGTTGTTTTAAAGAAATCAATCAAATACAAACACCAGAACCGAACGAAGACTTATCAAGTGAGTTCGCCCTAGAGACTCTCTCTTAGGCACGAAGACCGAGGCAGCCGTCGGATCAAGCATCACGGCTTTTCTTTGCGCAGTTCGTTGAGGTCCATGACCTCTACTCAAATTTCCTCCATACCGGACATGGAGAGATCTTTATCACCATCTTCCCTTCTCGGGAAGAGAACTTTTTCATCACGTTCCCCTTCTATGAAAGGTGGTTCTTACTCGGTTCCAATATCGAGAAAAATTTTCAACATACTCATTGTTTGGCCTTCTTATGTAGCGGTCTCCATGAGATCAGAAGAAGCCATCCATTTCGTTTTGACGTGATCCGGAGACTAAAATTGGTATTCAACGTCACTTAAGTTTCAACATTCCGGCTATGCCATGATTTCTCTGCCGACGCATTCGAGTTTTGTCTCAAATTCCCTGTCAATCTTCTATGAAGAATTAGATGTTTTGATTGTTTTAGTTTGTTTTATATTAGCAACCAAAGAGAAATCGTTTTGATAAAATGGATATTTTAGTTTTACTAAGATCTTTAAAATTCATTATTTTAAAAAACCAATAATTGTTTGGCTTGGATTGTTTAAGTCAATTGTGTTTTTTTTTTGAAACAAGGATTTTCAAGTCAATTGTGTTTGGGCTTGCATTTTTTTTGTCACCAAGCTTTTAATTAATTTAAATGATCAAAGTACAATAGGAGGAAATTAAACATCCTCCCACATTAATACAACATCACTGAAATGCGATAAAAGATAAAACAGATAGATCATCGTAGAAAATGGACAACGGATCCAAGACATGTCTCGGATGCGTCAAGAGGGTCTTCGCATCAGGGCCGGAGAGTCTCAGGTTAGTCACTTTACATTGTGACTTTGAAGAACCCGGCATAATGCTCGGAGATTCGACCAATCTCAAAGAGATGGGAGAAAAGAGAATTAGACTCTTCCACCGGGAGTAAATTACAAGGTTTGAGAACCCAGAAAACTTGTGTCTTCTCACACTAGAAGAGATATAATCACTAAAAGTTACAGGATTTGAGAATCTAGAAAATTTATACTTCTCAAAATAGAGAAGCAAATAAACTCAAAAGCAAATAAGATTTTTAAAAAATCTGCATTTTAAACACCTTGAGTATGGGCCTATCACTCTAAAAAACCCAGCCTTTATTCTCTTTCTGGGCCGAGCCCAAACCAATATCCCAACTGATCCTAGCCCAATTTTAAATTTTCTCATGGGCCAAGCCCAATGTCTGATAGAATTTAAACGGGCCAAGCCCAGCTGTAATTTTAGCAATGAAAATCTTACAGGCCGACGGACGGAAGGGCGATCTCGGCGATATCTTCGGTGATGGCGATGGTTGCGAAGTCCGATTGAGCCTTGTACCAGAACAACCCGATTGAACGGCAAAGGGAGTTGTGGTTTCACGCACGTGGGGCGTTGAAGCCACTGTGACGAAACCCCACCACGGTGGAGAGGAGGGGGAGACGGATGCGGGTCTCTACAAAGAGAGACTTTGCCGGTGTATAAGCGGTGGAAGGGTATTTCCTCACGGTGGTGGGTTTGGAGGAAGAGCCCGTGGGGAGTGAGTCCATCGTCATTCACGCGTCGAGAGTGACCATCTTCATACTTACTATCCGGTGAGACCGAGAGCTTGGATTCACCCAAGACGGCGAGAGGAGAGAAGAAAACTCGGAGATGAGCTTCCATTCTCACCGGAAAATTCTTCCCTCCGATGCCTCGAGCCCCGTGCCAGGGAGAGTACCTTACCTTGATTAAGGTTGTATATTCTTTGCGCTTGCATTCTTAAACAAACAAATTTAAAAAACAAAAACCAAGCTCATTATATTTTATAAAGAAAATGTTTTCTTTTCAAAATTTGTGTTCTGTTTGAATTTGATGTTTATTGTTATAATATTAATATAAGATGGTAAGTTTTATTTTAGAATTCATACGCAAATACAAAACAAACAATGCAAAAAAATGGTGAAACGATCATATGTCATAATGTTTATTACCTGTTGAAATCATCATGACGATCACCACAAAAGTGATGAAGCTAACAAGTTTTACACCCTTTACCCTTTTTCTTGTTTTTTCTTTTAGTCGTCTGATTAGATTTTTTTTTTTATTACAAATATAGAACTTTTGCAAAATTTTCGTTTTCATGTATATTCTATTGTTTGATGGAATCTTTTACATATATAAAGAGTTTTTATTTCCTATTTTAAGAAATAGACAAGAAGTAATCCGTAATAGATTACTTCTACCATATATTATAAATCTACCACTACTATAAATAAGTTTACCATTGCGCGAACCATCAATAAGTATACCAACTACTTAATAAATCTACCAATCGCAAATAAATCTACCATCACATGAACGGTTTATTTTTTCGCTGCCTCATTAATGACAGTTTCGTAAATACGTTTTTTCTCTTCAAAATGAAATAAGGCTAAAACGGGTATTAATAATTTTTCAAAATTGTTTGAGTAATTTTCAAAGAATAGCATCATTTTGGTCAAAAACAACTTTGTAAGGTTGTTTTAGTAAAACTCTCTTTATAATATCTTAGAAAAAACTTTTTTTTTAGATACAAAAGCATTTACCCTAAGAAAACTAAGCAGGTCATGTTCACTATTTAAGATAGCTGAGGTATTCATTGTTGATTTCAATCAATCTTCTTTCTTGAACGTAAATTTTATAAATCCAGAGAAGATAGGAGGGAGGCAGAGGCCTTACAAATAAAATCGACAATTGGTCTTAAGCGTCATGACAGAGCTAACAGTTCGAACCCAACATAAAGTTATTCGAATTTCATAACAAAAGTGTTAGGAATTTGTACCTTTTCTTGTTTCATTTTGGAGCCACACGAGAAGGGATTTGTTGTTGATCTACCCTCTTGTAGCCATGTTACATCACCAACATAAAACAACTTTTCCCCTTTTCCAATCTGAAGAGAGCAATGGGGAGATAATCATTTAATAATACAAAAGAAGTGTGCATGCAAACCAGTAGGACTATGCGAAATAAATTAAAATGTGGTCACTGCATCACACCAATTGAGCAATGACTGTGATTAATTCTTTCAACAAGGAAAAAATGAGAGCAAATAATAGGTGTATAGTAGCCAAACTCCTGAGGTTCGCTGGTAACCGAACCTGTTGAGAAAAAAGAAATAGAGAAAAATGACAAGCTAAACTCGATATTAATCCCAGTCTTTTACCGATGCATGGCAGGTTTTTTCATTGGAAGATTAGTCATAAGAATCAATGATTTATCATAGTCCAATCTAAATAAAGACGTAGAAGATGTCTTTCACTCGCTGGAGAGATTACTTTCTGTTCGTTCCAGCATTTTATGTCGGCATTCTCTCACATCAAGTTTTCTCTCTTCTAATCAAGGTAGTTACACTAGTCCCATGAAGAAACGCTTTCTGTTTCCAATACCTCTTGCATTCACCTGGCCTACTGGACGTCGAGATGCAAATGTTTTTAAGTCTGAACATTAAAAGCTTGCAAGATTGTAAAACAAAAACATGAGACCAAAACGAAGATAAAATTCACTGAATCTGCATGACCATAAAGCTTGAAAGAGATTTAAGTTTTACAAAGATAACAAAGAAGTCTCTGAAACTAATAGCAACACCTTTTTGAAATCATAAGCTCCTCTTTTTTTATAATGAGAGTTTAGGATCACCTAAAGCACCTCTCATATCATCGCGGGATCATTATAAACAGATGTATTATATTTATCAAAAGCAAAAAATACAACATATTTGGGGAATTTCTTTTGTGCAAAAGCGTTATAGTGGAATTTCTTAGGTATAATCTCACGTCTTAGGACTGGATTAAACTCGTCGGCATCAATATCACCAAATAACTGCAAATGCATGGGCAGTAAATAAGCAATGAGGCTAAAATTTAATCGAGATGAATGAACATTGACCGTCGGAAACATAATTCTTCGTCGTTGGATCTCGAAAAGGTCTCATCAGAAATCAAATTTTCAGGTTGTTGTAAAAGCAAGAAGAAAACTAATTTTAGATCTTAGGCTTCGAAAAACCGTTCGTTTACCTCCTCGCCAAGCTCTAGAGGTTGTTCTCAGCAGCATCGCGAGCTTAAGTCGTCTTCTGCTTCTCTGATTTCTTCTTATGCTTCTGCTTTTCCTCTATATTTGTTCTTAATCATCGAAAAGTATGATCTTCTGCTTCCATTTCTTCATCCTCACTATCACCCGTCTTCCTCTGGAAACCATTTTTATAGACTGAGGAACGAATCGGTTGGGGCAGAAGACGATGAGGCATTTTCTTAGAATACAGTAAGCCGCATGTGTCTGATCCCTGAAAATAACCAGTCTTTGATGCTACAAGAAAGTTCCAAAATTTTCTTGTGTGACTGCAAAATAAGCTTCACATCCTTCTGTCAATTTGTCGAGAAACAAAAGAGAAGTTCTTCTGATGAGCTACAACACTCCAATGACCCATCGAAATTAAGATAGAAGAGAATTGTGTTTGGGTTTGGATGCAAGTGGCACGCTTCATACGTTAATAGCCATTAATTGCAGCAAGAGAGTGCTGGCCTCTTATTATGTTATAGATTATATAAGAAAA